GATTGGAGGAAATTTCCAAAACCTCACCCAGTGCCGTTAGTGTCAGGGATGAGGTCACGGAACAAAAAATTGCTACATGCCAGCTAAATGCATGAATTGTGGTGATTCCTCTCACGCAAAGGACGACTGTCCAGTGAAGGAAGATCCTAAGAAATTTAAATGTTCAAATTGTGGTGAAAACCACAAATCCAATTTTTGGGAATGTAAGACTCGAAAAGTGATCATACAATCTCGTTCTAAGCGACAGGTAGGAAACGCTCCACGTTTCCGAACAGGTACAAATTCCTCTGCTGTTAACAACGGTCAGCGAGGAACAAATTCTACATTCGTAGCCACGGGAGCAGCAATCACAAATTTCGGCGGAGCTCACATCAATGTGATGAATGTAGTGCGTGAGGATAACTCTTACAGACTACTCTTTCTTCTTCTTCTTATTTCCTTTATTTAACGTTGGTCTCTGTCCCGCAATCTAGTGCCAATCACCGACGGACATCGATTGCCATCCATTGACGGCAATCGAATGTGCAGAAAGGCAGCTTCCACACCTGCGTAGAATATCGCACCCATTCAACACACATGGGCCGGGACCAACGGCTTCCCGAGCAAAGTAGAATAACAACCCGATATCATCTAAATAACAAGTCTTGTTATCCCAGATATCATTTTGTTTTCAGTTGTTATCGCATAACTTATTTAGTTATCAGCCTTGATCAATTTTGTTATCAGTTGTTATCATGAAAAATTCACTATATATTTATTAACGATGCAAGGTTAGTTCTTTTTTTTTATTTTTATTTATTTGTCGTCAATCAGTGTAGACCGTTTTACAATTGTTGTCTTAAGTGCTATTTTTACAATTTTGTCTTTGTTTATATTTTTAATAATATGTCTTAAGAACAAGTTAAAACATTACTTCTAGTTGACGTTATGCGACGAATTAAAATATTGCTTTAATTTGGTTTTTGTCATTGTAAAGTCAATGTTATCGCAGTGCTTATTATATGTATCCATCATTTGGTTCAAGGGTCCAAATTTGGCATAATTCGTACGATGACGATTTGTAGCAAATATATTTCTATTTCGTAAATGCCTAGATGGTGTATATAAATTTAAGGATGACAATAGTTCTATTGAATCAATTCGATGTGATACGATATCGTTTACGAAAGAAATCATAGCAAATTCACGACGCTTTTTTAATGTTTGGATATTTATGAGCATACACCGAGCTGTGTAAGATGGCAGAGGAAATACAGTCCAACCTAACTTGCGGAGTGCATACAATAGAAACTGCTTTTGAACGGACTCTATTCTTTCTTCGTGTGTGATTGAAAAAGGTGATCAAACTATGCTGCAATATTCTAATATCGATCTTACATAAGCAATGTACAATGTTTTAATCGTATACGGATCGTGAAAGTTATAGCAGAAACGTTTTATGAAACCAAGCATGTTGTTAGCTCTGTTATTTTTTTTTTTTTTTTTTATAGTCACTTTAACGCTCTTGGGTCAAGCTCTGTTAATAATTGTGTTATAATGATCGGTGAAAGTAAGTTTTGAGTCCAAAATAACACCTAGATCCCTGACTCTATCACACTTTTCTACGATCTGGTTTCCTAAAGTGATTGTTATATCGGGTAGGATTTGTTTTCTACTAATGGTAATGGAGTTACATTTTTTATATTTAATTGTAGCAGGCTTTTTTGACACCAAGTATGGAATATCTGAATTTCTTCTTTGAATGTGAAGATGTCTTTGGCATCTTTTATTTCCAAAAAAAGTTTAATGTTGTCAGCATATATTAAAACTTTCAATTTCTTAATAATGAAAGATATGTCATTGACGAAGAGAATAAATAAAAGTGGTCCTAAATGGGAGCCTTGAGGAACTCCTGAAGTGACGTCAACGGGATTTGATATCTTTCCTTTGTATTTTACTATTTGATGACGGTCAGTTAAATATGATTCAAGCCACTTGAGGAGTGCGTAATGAATTCCCATTTTTTGAAGTTTAAAAAGAAGCATGGGTATGTCAATTCGATCAAACGCTTTGCTGAAATCTGTATACAACACTTCTACATGGTTTCCGTTATCCATTGCATTCAAGGAATAATTAATTAATTCGAGCAAATTCGTAGTTGTTGAACGGCCTTTAAAGAAGCCATGCTGCATAGTAGTTATTCTGTTTTTAATTTGAAGAAAGAGTTTTTCATTTACAATCGCCTCGAAAAGTTTTGGAATGCAAGAGATAATAGCTATACCACGATAATTACGTATGTCGGATTTTTTACCCGATTTAAAGATAGGCACTAAAAACGAGTTTTTCCATATTTTAGGGAAGTTTCCGGATTCCAGTGACATATTGAAAATCCAAAATAATGGAGCAGTAAGTTCAATTGCTAAAGTTTTCATAAAAACTGGCGGAACACCGTCAGGGCCAGGACCTTTAGATGCATCTAAATTGTTTAAACCCTTTAAGATATCATGAACCTTGATTTGACTTACGCTGATGTCACTTGAGAATTCTGGATATGATTCAAAATATTCACGGTCACGGTCCTCTTCTGAAAACGTAGTATATATTTCTTGGAAGAAATTTGCAAACAAATTGCATATATCATCCGAGTTCTCACCTATCCTATCGTCCAAATGCATCTTTGAGGGAAAATTATCAGATTTTAATTTGGTTTTCACATAATTGAAGAATTTCCTAGAACAAGATTTTATTTCAAGTTCAGTTTTTAAATTATACTCCTCAAATGCCATATTCACGGCCAAATTTAACTGATCACAAATGTCTAAATAGTATGCCAAACCTTCTTCACTATTATATTTTTTATAAAATTTGTGCGCTTTTTGCTTTCGATTTTTTAAATTTTTCAGTTCCCTGTTGTACCAAACTGGATGTTTTGCATGACTCTGACGTCTTCTTCTTTTAGTTGGCACTTCTTCAAGTATTATTTCAAGCAACACATTGTAGAATACGTCAACTGCACATTCAACATTTCCTGCAGTTCTTAATATTGCTTGCCAATCGACAATGTTCAATCTATTTCTGATGTTATCATAATTTGCTGAATTGAAATCAAAGATTTCATCAAATTCGCAGTCGTTGGTTCTTTCATTTATGTGAACGAATAAAGAATATTCTATTGCTGTGTGAAACATTTAATTTCTCCATATGGGACTTAACGATTCAGTCACACAGAAATCTTCATAAGTATTTGTTAATAAAAGGTCTAAATAACAATTTTGTTGATTTTTCACATGGTTAATTTGATTGGGTCCTAAATTTGCAATTTTGTCAAAAATGAAATGGAGTGTTTCATTTTCCCCAACGACTGGAAGTAAGATGCTTTCATTGTCGATATCAGAAATAAAGTGAAAATTGCGTTGATTAAAGTTCCCATTTATATGTACTTTTACTTCAGGGGGTAAACTAGACAAAATTTCTTCCGCTTTTCCAAAAAACTTATCATACGTGTCCTTATGAGCATTGTTCGGAGGAAAGTATACCGAAGCAAAGACATGAGTTTCATCTGCTACTTGCGCTTTTACCCATACATGTTCGAATTCTTTAAATTTAGTAGCCATAATGATTTCTGAATTCAATTTGGTCGAAATCGCTATTAATACTCCACCTCCCGATTTTTTTCCAGACCATTGAAAATTGCGGTCGTCTCTATAAACATTATAATTGTTACCAAAAACTTCTTCACTTCTCACACTATCATCCCAACTTATTTCATTAGCCATTATGACATAGCAAGTAGAACTTAATATATTTTTGTTAATTTCATTCATTTTACCGGCGCTTCTCATGCGGTTAACATTTTGGCAATATACCAAAATTTCTGTAGTGGTCTGAAGATTAGGTGAAGAAGTTGATGATAACCTGTCATTCATAAAACTATTATAAAAGTTATTTACCCCTGATCCATGTTCCGAATTTGTTTCGTTCTGCAAAGTGTCGTGATCTTCGTTATTTTCTTCCTCTATGGAGCGTGTCAGTTTTGTAGAAAAAACGAGTGCCTCTCCTTGATGTAGAGAAGTCGTCAAGTCCTGGATAATGTCGGGGTCTGCCGGATCATTGTCTTCCTCCAAGGGGTGCGTCAATTTCGTACAAAACACGAATTCCTGCATACACACGCCTCGCATGATGCAGTTGCAGCCATCCCGTTATGCAAGTGCGCTGGAACGGTACGTGGGTAAACATCGCACGCCGGGTAGGGGTTCAAGATTTCCCCTCGTTGGAATTGCATCGTGGGTCGATAGTTAGCCTGCGGAGGGCTGGAAAACCGATATTTCGCTGCCGCAAGAAGCTCTCGATCAGGTGGCAGTAGGTTGTTTCTATTCTGACTAACACTGCTGCGGAAACTGTTACGGTTAGTATTGTTGTTTCGATGATTGTTAGATATGTTATTGTTGTTGTTGTTGCCAAAATTGTTGTTGTTATTTTTGCTGTTGTTGTTGTTGTTGTGGTTTTTGTTGTTATTGTTGTTGTTATTTTTATTGTTGTTGCTGTTGTTGTGGTTGTTGTTGTGGTTGTTGTTATTGTTGTTTTTGTTGTTGTTGTTGTTGAGCAAGTTTTGTTTCCTTCGCCTTCTAGCCTTTCCAGCTATTTTTTGCTGTATCAAACGGCGTGATTTTCGGTCATCGTACTCGGTCCAGTCTGCCTTCCATACCTTTAAATATTATTCGTATTGAAACAATAAAAAATAGTGCTTTTAATCCCTAATCATATTGCAGTTATCAGCGTAAGGCTTTGAAATCAAAATGATAACATAATTTGAAATTTATGGAATAAATTTGTATGGCACACATAACACGCGACGCGAGACAAGACACAACACTTATCGTTCTTACAACATTTAAAACGGATTAAAAATTACCTTTCTGTCGACCGGTTTCGGGCGCGATGCTGCCCATCTACGGGACAATTTCCGACTGGTTACAATAGGATTGCTACGCTGTTGTGTAGACGTTTAGAGAAGAGAGTTGTTACTGTATTTTCAGCTTCGTCAAGTTGAACAAAGATGATGTGATGGGAGGATCATCTTCATTCATCAGTGGTTCTTGTGTGTTGTTGATATGCATTGATTCCCATGCATTGAGGTGTGAGGGTTTTCGTACTGTTTTGATGAGCTTCACACTTTTCCAATCAATTTGATGATTGGAGGCCGTCGTGTGCGCCGCCACAGCTGAATCGTTTGATTTATTGTTGTCGACAGCATTTTTGTGTTCTTTAAGGCGAACTTTTACTTTGCGACGAGTTTGTCCGATGTACACCGAGGGACAATCCTGGCAGGGAATTCGGTAAATTCCAGACTGCTCATCCGCCGGAATCTTGTCCTTAAGGTTACACAACAGGTCGCGTAGAGTGTTGTCGCTTTTGTGTACTATGTGTAGTCCTTGACGTTTGAGTGTGTTTTTGATTGGGTTTGTGACTTTTGGATAAAATGGCAGGCTAATCCTCTTAGCTTCATCCCTCTCCGGCTGTAGTGTGGTTATGTTCTGTAGGCGTTTCTTGCGTTTGTGTTTTTGTAAAATTTTGCTGGTGAACTCCTTTTCTTATCCATTTACTTCCGCCGCCTTGTAGATACGTTCCTTTTCTTCAGCGAACTCTTCTTCCTCCATAGGTACATTATAGAGACGGTGTGCCATAGAGTGGAAGGCGGCTTGCTTTTGAGCGCCGAAGTGATTGGAGTCCGAGGTGATGTATCGATCAGTGGATGTCGGTTTTCGGTAAATACCGAATTTCAACGTGTCGTCCTCCTTTCTGGTGACCATCAAATCTAGAAAGGGCAATTTTCCATCCACTTCTCTTTCTACTGTGAACTTAATTGAGCTGTGGCGGGAGTTCAGCATGTTCAGTGTCTGCTCTAGGTAGCGTTCCTTCACCGGTGCGAAGATATCATCACCATAGCGCCGCCAGACTCGAGGGAAAAACTTTTGCTTTTCAGCATCTACCTCAAAGTCGCTCATGAAGACGTTCGCCAGAAGGGGTGAAAGTTTGCTACCCATACTAAGACCAAACGTTTGCCTATAGAACTTCCCTCTAAATGTGAAAAAATTCTGATTCATACACACCTCAGCCACTAGAAGGTAGGCCTGAATGTGATGGTGTGGCGCCCGACTACGTTCTAAATGTCGGCGCAGGCTTCTCAAGGCGTCGGCGATTGGTACGCTTGGAAATAGTGACGCAACGTCAACAACATAAAAAGTGAAATTTGTATGGCTTACAAAATTTGTTATCAAGATATTATCAATGATAACAAAATTAGTTATTTTTGTGATATCCAACTAGCAATTCTTCGTTATCATTTTTGTTATGTTGGCTGTTAATTCAACCATAATGATAACATATTCAGTTATCAAAAAGTGATAACCGGGTAATAAAACTTGTTATCAATTTGATATTTTACTTTGCTCGGGTTTACTTCCCTTCCGAAGGAAGACGTGACCAGAGATTTTTATGCCTCAGAAAAATCCCACCGACCTCGGCTGGGATTGAACCCAGACCCATTGGGGTGTTAGAAAGCAGTCACGCTTACCACTACACTACCGGCGCCGGCATCTACTACTCTTTCTAGCATTCAGCACTGCGATGCAAGTGTGTTTTGTTCTGTCGTACCTCGGTCAGTTTTGCCGCTGTCAGTATGCCCAAAAGTGTCAGATTGTCCAAAAATGTCAAAATCATCTGAGCTATGGTGCATCTATGCGTGGTTGACAAGGATAGGGTCCCCTTGTTCGTACCCGTAAGTACAAATATCACCCCTGCTTCAAATTCTTCATCGATACCTACTCCCCTCGCTATGCTCAGAGTGTTAATGGAGCTACCTATGCTGCTATTACAGTGGGTAGAAATCAAAATACTAACCAACGTAATTCTAACCGAAATTTTGGAAATTTTGACTCAGTAAGCATTACTGCTCCTAAAATAGAATTTTTACAGAAATCATTAATTGACATGATTACTTATATGCTGAAATCGAACTCCATGTATGATACTATTCATACTGGAGTAAAATTTGCAAACAATATTGTCATGACTTTAAAATTCAGCAATGGATTTTAAAGCATTAAATTTTTTTAAATTGGGATGCTCGATCTCTTAAACACAATGAAGACGAGCTATTTAACTTTTTGAGAGTTCATAACGTGCATATTGCCGTTATAACTGAAACGTTCCTTAAACCTGACCATAAGGTTAAGAGGGACGCAAATTATTTCATTTATAGAAATGATCGTCTTGATGGAGCCTGTGGTGGCGTTGCCATCATTGTTCATAGACGAATCAAACATAAAATTGTTTTTTTCATTTGAAACCAAATTTTTTGAAACTTTGTGAGTTTCTGTTGAAACAAAATTTGGACCACTTACGATTGAAGCTGCCTATTTGCCATTCCAATGCTTAGGCCAGCAAAAGAATTTTTGCAAGGGTGACCTTCTGAAACTTACCCGTCATAGGTTTAAATTCTTTATTACTGGTGATTTTAATGCAAAACACCGCTAATGAAATAATGCTCAGTTCCAATGGTAATATTCTGTTTGATGATTCTTCTGCAGGTTATTACACTATTCAATATCCAAACAGCACAACCTGCTTTTCTTCAGCAAGAAATCCTTCAACTATTAATTTGGTCTTAACTGATTCGTATCGACTTTGTAGCCAATTGGTTACTCATGCTGACTTCGGTTCTGATCACCTTCCAGTAACTTTTGAAATATCCCAAGAAATAATTTGTAATCCCAACAGCTCTACTTAATTACCATAGATCTGATTGGGAGCAATATCGAACATTTATGGAATATAACTTCGATCCAAACATTCCCTTGCAAACCAAAGGTTAAAAAAAATGCTCTTGAATCTCTGACTACTTCTATTGTTGAAGCAAGAGCTTCCTCAGTACCAAAATGCGAGGTTCAATTCGATTCAATTATAATAGACGACGATCTTCAGCTGTTGATCCGTTTTAAAAATATCCGTGGCAGACAATATCAAAGAACACACGATCCTGCTATGAAAGTTATCTGGCAGGATTTGCAAAAACAAATTAAAAAGTAATTCTCTTCCCTAAAGAACAAAACTTTTGAAAATAATGTTTCTTATAGTTGAAGATGCTAATTTCAAATAACAGACTGTAGTGGTAATTTTTATACGATAGATGGAATAGATGAAAGCATAGAGTTGATAGTTCCGTTAGAGTACGGCAGTGTGAAGATTGCATATAGATATTAGAATATAGCGAGCTAGGACAACTTTTAAGGAAGGTACAAATCGACGACTGGATGCCTTCCTTCAAATAACAACTGAAGTGCGGTAAAAAATCGGTAGAACTGTTTCAAACACACAGTTGGTACTTGAGCGGGTCGGTTTTCATCTCTTTTTGCCAGTGGTGGTGGAGGGACACACCCCTCACCATCCCTCTCCAAAGGGGGAGTTTGGTAAAGAGAGATGAAAAAACGGCAGCCCTACTTTTGCTCAATAAAAGAGATGAAATTATCCTTAATAAGTAAAAAAAATCTCCTTAAAATAGATCGGGTTGCTCCTTCAATGATTGATCAAAATACGATAAAAAGCTTAAAATGCTCATTAAATATTTAAAGTACGCTCCCTAAAATAGAGAATACTGTACATTAAGCATTTGAAAATGCTCCTTAGTATGCACCGCTTTGCACCATTTTGAAGTGTGATTGTACCATATATCATCGGAAAAGCTGCTGTAGAAAGGTTAATAAGTACCATGAAATCAGTTGAAATGTTCAGTAAAAATGCACAAATACACACAATGATTTACTGAACATTTCAGCTGATTTCATAGTACTTATTAACCTTTCTACAGCAGCTTTTCCGATGATATATGGTACAATTACACTTCAAAATGGTGCAAAGCGGTGCATACTAAGGAGCATTTTCAAATTCTTAATGTACAGTTTTCTCTATTTTAGAGAGCGTACTTTAAATATTTACTGAGCATTTTAAGATTTTTAATGTATTTTGATCAATCATTTAAGGAGCAACCCGATCTATTTTAAGAAGATTTTTTTTACTTATTAAGGAACATCGTCATTGTTTAATGATTCATTTACCTTTTTACCTGAAAAAACCGATTTGTACCTTCCTTAAAAGTTGTCCTAGCTCGCTATATTCTAATATCTATATGCAATCTTCACACTGCCGTACTCTAACGGAACTATCAACTCTATGCTTTCATCTACTCCATCTATCGTATAAAAATTACCACTACAGTCTGTTATTTGAAATTAGCGTCTTCAACTATGTAAATCGTTGACTTCACGTAGAAGTAATACTAAAACATATAGTCAAAGAATGTTTCTTAATTAGACCCGAGTTCCAAACCCTTTTGGAAACTCACAAAATTTTTGAAAAAACCTCGCAAGTCTATTCCAGTGCTTAAGGGAAGCTCACCGGCCCAAAAATAAAAAAATATTTTCGGTACGTTTTTATTTTTTTAAAAATATTGGGAAAAATCATCAAAAATCCAAGAAAATCAGTTTCTTCCTTAGATTTTTGTCAAAAATTACATGCAAAAATTTTTTTTCTATCCCATCATGAAAAAAAATTGGACTCTCAGAAAAACCGAAAAGTTGATGTTTTGTGGTTTTTTGAGTCCAACTTTATGCCATAATGACTTATAAAAAATGTTTTTGCACGTGAATTTTCATTGAAAAATTAAAAAATATGTGATTTTCTTAGAATTTTGATATCTTTTTCCAATATTTTTAGAAAAATCAAAACGTAATTATGTTTTTCGGAGCGGTGAGCTTCCCCTTAAAGAAGGTGGTAGAATTTGGATCACAAATTTTGAAAAAGCTCAGAAACTTGCTAAGCAATTTGAAGGTTCCCATAATTTCAGTTTGGGTCTTAATAGTCCTATTGAGAACTTTATATTCTGAATATTTCTCTCGGGAAAATCTGATAGATTATCTGAATATTTTATCTCGGGAAAATATGTTTGATGTTTCCTGGGGGACTGATTTGGACGAAGTAAGGTCTATAACTAAAAAGTTTCATAATATAAAAGCTCCATTATGTAATTTTCTCTTTATATCCTCATCAAAAAACTCCCAGAGAGTGCCTCGTCTTTCTTGGTAAAATTATTTAACAGATGTTTCATTAGGCAAACTTTCCTGATAAATGGAAAAATGCAAAACCTCTTCCAATTTTGAAGCCGGAAAACAATCCAGCTAAAGCTTCTAGCTACCGTCCAATAAGTTTGCTTTCTTCAATAGGTAAACTTTTTGAAAAGATAATTTTAAATATAATGATGTTTCAAATCAATACGAACTCAATTTCTGCCGATGAGCAGTTTGGATTTCGCCATGGGCATTCAACTATGAATTCTTAAGAGTTACCAATTTAATTCGTTCAAATAAATCTGAAGGCTACTCAACTGGAGTTGCTTTTTTAGACATTTCTCCCAACGCTTCCAAAACTCAACTTATAATATTTCCACATAAGCCTAGAGCTTCCTCTTTGAAACCTAGTAGTAGTCACATAGTCACTATAAACGGAGTTCCAATTTCCTGGTCAAACCAAGTGAAATATGTTGGATTAATACTTGACCAAAAATTAACTTTTAAAGATCACATTGAGGGCATTCAAGCCAAATGTAATAAATATATAAAATGTTTGTATCCTCTTTTAAACAGGAAATCTAAACTTTGCCTGACGAATAAACTTCTTATATTTAAACAAGTTTTTAGACCGGCCATGCTTTACACTGAACCAATATGGTTTAATTGTTGCACTACCAGGAAAAGATCACTTCAAAGGATTCAGAACAAAGTTCTGAAGATGATTTAGAAGTTGCCTCCCTGGTACAGTACTACCGAGGTACATAGAATTTCGAATTTTGAGACTTTAGAACAAAAGTCCAACAAAATAATTCATAATTTCAGGCAAAAATCGTTGCAATCCTCAATTGCAATGATTAATTCCCTTTAGACTTAGGTAAGATTTAGTTTTTGTTTTTAGTTTTAAGATTTCAATTGTTATA